GTTTCTTGCTGAGTTTTGGTGTGTTTAGAATAAATGAACTCTATTTATAGGGAAAGAAGTTCAGATATTTGAATTTGAGAGGATTGGGGTGCAAGCCTTTATCCAATAGATGATGTCATCTATATATTACTTGAGTGCCAAGGAACATATCTTACATACTCACATGGCTACCAATTTTGATCCTTTGAATCTGATCCTCTCACATTGCATCTCATTCCTTGGTGTTCTCATCAAGTTTTGACATATTGGAGTGGTTTTTGGCAAATTCACTATAACACTTTAATGCTAGAGGACAAAACCTCACTTCTCACTTTTGAAATGATTTTTTTTTTCACATGCCAATGCTAGAATCTTGAAATTTTTGTTATGTTTTGCAAAACACATGTTTGTATGATCATTTGGAAGTTGGTCTTATGAAGATTTCAGGCTTGCAAGTCTTATCCAAATCGTGCATCACCAAATGTGTACCAAATTTGTCTTGTAAATTTGTTGCCACAAGGCATGTTGTGAAATTCATAACTTCTTGCTCAAGTAAGGTAAATGGATGTTTTTGGTCATTTTGGAAAGCTGGTATAATTTAATTTAATTTTAATGTTTAAAGTTTGTCTTAAATCAATGTGGATCATGGAGAAAAATGGCCTCAAAGTTGGCTTCAACATATGACGGATTCCGCCTAAAAACTTTCTAAGTGTCAAAGTTCAAAAAGTATTGAAACCCTAACTTCATGGCCTTGTATCTCAAAATATATGTTCCTTTTGGGAATCCACCCTTATTGACAAAGTGTTATTATGTAACAAGCTATTTAATTTGATCTTTGGATCAAAGAAAATGGTTGCTTGGTTTGAAAATTATGCCCTTGTAAAGTTTGTACCAAATTAGGGTTTTCTTATAACTTAGAAAAATTTTCATTTCTTCATGGTTGCCTTTTTTTACAAGCAACCTCTCTTTTCTTGATTTTCTTTGATCAATCATAATCTAAATCACATATTATCATAATTCTTGACTTGAAGAAACCATGGTTGACCAAAATCTTCAAAAGTCAAACTTGATTTTGACCATAATTGACTTTTGTATCAGATGAACTTGAATTTTGTGATCTCTTATTGAAATCAAACCCTTGGCCTATTTGAACACCATGGATGGACTCCAAGGGTGTTTTTGAGTGTCTTGAGTCATGTCCCAAGGTATTGTTTTGGTCAAAATTCAAAGGTACAATTGACTTTTCATCAAAAACCCTAGTTTGTGGGCCAGATGAATTTGAATCGTTGCATTACTTATGAATCAAGTTCTTTGGATCAATCCAATCATATGAATGGACTAATATGAGGCATTTGAGGTCCTTGAAACATATCTTGAGGTATTGGATCATTCCTTGCTCCAAAAGTCAACCCAGTGACTGAATTAGATCAAAACCCTAATTTTAGTGCACTGAGGATCTTGACATGATGCAATCTTGCAATTGATTTTGGATGAATGAAAGCTCTTGATTCTCATGAATGAGTAGGGAGCTTAAAGTGTTGGGTATGATGCACATCTTTTTGACCAATCATCTGCTTAAGCCTTTGAAGAACCACCTAACCTGTAAAGTAAACAAGCACGCACGCGCGCACACACACACACACACACACACACACACACACACACACACACATCTTGTACTTGTTGCGGATTAGTGATGCATAATAACACACACACACATATGTTATGTAAATGAGGTGAATGAAGTGGCATCTTAGGGGTAAAAAATTAGGGTATGACAGTCATCGAAAAATTCTTTTCAAAATACTCATATCCACTTCCAAACACAATAAACAATTAGAAAATTTAGGAGGGTACAAGTTGTTTTCATCCATGGACATCTATTTTGACTACAACCAAATACTCATGTACGAGGCAGACATGAAAAAAATTGTCTTGATGATAGAGATGTCCTACTATTGATACAACATAACACCCTTTGGCTTGAAGAAAAGAAGACAAACATACCATATATAAACAAAGTCTTCAAGGAAGAAATATGGGAAACACAAGAATTTTACATGGACAATATAATCTCCAAGCCCCACGAAGAAGAGTGACACGATTGACAACCAACTCACGTAATTTAATGAGTTGGACAATACAATATGAGGCTCAATCCATGGAAATGCACCTTCATAATTAGAAATGGAAAATTCTAGGGCTTCTACCTAATAGAGAGAGACATAGAAACTAACATAAACAAATGCAATGTGATTATCAAAATGGAAGCTCCAATGACATAGAAAGAGATAATGAAGTTAAACGAGATGCTCGCAACCTTAAACAAGCTGACCTCAACTTCATATGAACATGTGTTACCATTTTACAAGTTGCATGGATCCATCAGGTTAGACACATTGGGAATACAACAACAAACCGTGTTAAGTCGGCCTATGCTACATTGAAGAATTAATTGTGAAATAGTAAGGGCGGTTTGTGTAGAGATTGGGTCTCCGTGAATCAAATGATCCAGAACCAGCATAATGAGATACAAATATCATTTGGTCGGAGCATCACAGTTTTGGAACACAAATTTAAAAATAACAACCTTTATTTTTAGTTGGTCGAGACTTGGCCGGACAATTTTGTGGAAAGGATGCAAAAGTTCGAGAAATTGAGCAACATTGAAAGAGAATCAAATGAACAAAATTCAAATGGAGTACCACTTATAGATTTAGCCAGCGACAAATTTTCGATTCATTTTAAATTTCTGTTTAGCCGGACAAATAAGTGTATCTAATTGTGTCTCAATATTAATGAAGAGTAATATATACAATTTCTTAATATGTTACCACATTTTTTTAATCTTTTCCAAAACATTTGTTATTTGCCGAACAAAGTCTTCAATTAGGTTCTGTTTTCTGCCGGGTACATTCTGCCTGGTTCAGGATAGGTTTCGAAGATGTATTTTTGAAACCAACGCAAACACATGATATAAATTTTGAGTTACACATTTGTCTACAACTTTTATAAATTAAAGGGCTATTGTTTTTAATTTCACACAAATAAAAAATGTCTCAAATATCACAAATAAACATCATGGTGTATCGCAAATGTCTCCTTCTCCAGCACGATACATGAACGAAAATTTAAACTCAACGAGTACACCTTTTTTGCAGATATGAAATACGAGGTCGGAAGTTCATAATCTCCTATTTTTTTCCTTCTTATTTATAGTTTTTGTTTGTTTTCATAATTTATTTTTAATATAAGAGTAATAATTTCATAAGAAAAGGAAAAACAAAGGAGAAAAAAATTAAAACGGCGTTGTTTTGGCATGAGATTAATGGGAAGAGAAAACCAACCTGACACGGGGTGCTGTGAGGAAAGAAGGTGACTGAAACGCTCGCTCGCATAGAGGTGAACGACACTGTCCTCTTCTTGTTTTGTGGGTCTCTCTCTCTCTCCTCAAATTCAATTCTCTCTCATCAAATTCAATTCTCTCTCGTAGGTCTTCGTCTTCGATTCCATTATAGTAGCTGTAAGTTCTCTCTCTCTCTCTCTCTCTCTCTCTCTCTCTCTCTCTCTCTCTCTCTCTCTCTCTCTCTCAATTTTCCTAATTGCCATTTTTATTTTCTAAACCTTTCTAGGTAATGTAATGTACTCTGCAACTTTCCACTCTATTCTCGCTCTCACTTATTTCTTAATACCATTTTTTTGATCTTGTTCATTCTCCAAATTCAGTGCAAGATGCATTTTCACTCAATTTGTTCCCACGCCTTTTTTTTCCCTTTTAATTTTTTGTTTTTAGCATATGTACAAGTTCTTCAATTTAGAAATTATTTAAATCTACTTACGGGTAGGAACTAGGAACTGGTTTTAGAGATTGTTGTGCTGATCAAATGGAATGGAAGTGAAGTGGTTTTAGTGATTTAATTGGTTTTGAGATTTCCTTTTAGAGCTTTATGTGTGTTCATGTATGGAGATCATAAGTTGAAAATCAATTAGGTTTCATAAGTTGCTTTTGTTGTTTATTTTTGGGACAGTGTAGAATGGTTTTGATTGGTGAATGCTGTTCATTAGCTTTCATTTTTGTCTCTCAAGATTAACTATTTGGATAGAAGCATGATCCTGTAATAGAACATAATGGGCGAAGTTGATCTATGTAGTTGACTCCACTTAGTGGGTGGGATAAGGCCTGGATGTTGTTGTGTGGCCACTTCCCCCAGCACCTTAAGTAAGTCGTCAGGTCTGGGGTTTGATCTGTGCTTCTTGTGAATGGAGTAGACTCGGTTTGGAAGGGAAACCCCACCTTGTGTGCTCATTAGGTTACTAGACGGAGACTAGTCGTGGTTAAGCGATGGTGGATACTTCGTATTACAATAGCAAAGAAATCAACGCTTTTTGTGCACAGAAACTATAGTTGAATGATAAATGGATACAAATTTACATTAAGGGTATTCCTTTTGGATACCTGTCATAAATATGGTGGTGGCGTTTGTTTTCGCCAGAATGGAGGGTAGTATTCATTCAAGCTTGGACTTAAGTTGTTTAGTTCTACACTCTGTCGCAACTCGCACGGACACCTCTGAATAAAGGTGTGTCCGCGTCCGTGTCCGTGCCAACACCGAACGATACCGATACTTGCGATTAAGGTCAATTTATTTATGTTTTAAAATTATTACTAGTGTCAACGTGTCAGTCGGTGTTCGTGTTTGTGTCTGTGCTTCATAGATTTGTGATTTGGTATAAAAGTTTTAGATTTGTGATATCTTTCTTTTGATAGAAGCTGTTCATACTGGTTGGTTCTTCCAAAGTTTCATTTGTTAGTTGTGAAGCTTCTAACCAATTTTCCTGTTCTTTCCTCTAAATAAATCTCTCTACATGCATCTCTTCCTGTTTATTGACTTGATGCCAAGTTGTTGCTTTTCCCATTTGTTAACAGGATTTGTCTTTCAGCCAGAGGTTATTGATTATTTAAACTTCAAGATATCTTGAAACCAACTATTGCATTTGTTCCAAAATCCTCTGGACGCAAGATGGACGATGACCGGCAATATGAAAACGGTAGACACAAGGTGGAATACTACAGAGGCGCACATTCCCCGGTAAGTAGAATATACTGATTTAGCACGGTTTCTGTTATTTTAATTTGCAGTTGCAGTAATTGATTGATTAATTGGATTGGATTGGATTCTTAAATGTGCAGTGGAATGCGGATCCCCAACATCAAATAAAGGAACAAAATGCTCTAGTTATGAATAAAAAAATTAGGTCCATTATGGCTGAGAGACAGGCTACCCTTCTGGAAATTGAACTAGAGGCTGCGATAACCGCAAAGAATGATGCCTTGGCTGCTCGAGACGTTGCCCTTAGGCAGAGGGATGAAGCACTCGCTCAGAGGGATAATGCTCTGTTGGAACGGGATAACGCCCTTGCAGCCCTTCAATGTCGGAATAGTTCTGCCAACTTTTCATTCAATGGTGGAAATCACCGCGGATCAAAGCGGACGCACCATTCTTCAAACCGTAATCAATCCAACATGACAGAAGCAGCATATAGCTCAACAGATATAATAATAAGAGATGCCTCCCCAGTAACTGTTATAACTTCCGAAGCCATCGAGTCTCATCTAACTAAGACAGCAAAGGATAATTCCAAGGCATCAAAGACACCTTCAAAAGTAAAGAAAATGGGTGAGGATTTAAATAGGAAGGCTTATTCTGAAGGGACAAAGATCAAATCTGAATGGGATAGACAGGATGTTGGCTTGAATTTGATTACTTTCGATGAAACTGTCATGCCTGTCCCAGTTTGCACGTGTACCGGAGCACCACGGCAGTGCTACAAATGGGGGAACGGTGGATGGCAATCATCTTGTTGTACTACGACACTGTCAATGTATCCACTACCACAGCTTCCAAACAAGCGCCATGCTCGCATCGGAGGACGGAAAATGAGCGGCAGTGTTTTTACAAGACTTCTCAGTAGGTTTGCATCAGAAGGCCATGACTTATCTTTACCATTGGATCTTAAGGATTACTGGGCCAGACATGGAACAAATCGCTACATTACCATCAAGTAGCTTCTGACATATTATTTCAAATTATGTGTTCCTTTTTAGACCATGCCTGGTAAGCATGATATGCTTGAATTTAGTGCATGCAGGTGAGTTTTCATTACAAGGCTATTCTCCTTGCTTAATTCTGGCTAGAGTCCACTTTTATTCTGGCTGTAAAGTATGTGTATGTATGCACATGTGACTTCTTGGTGGCACTCATTTGGTTCCTGTATTTTTGTTCCTTTTTGTGTACATTACAAATCCACTTGGTAGAAAACTTTTCTCCTCTCAGAGATCCCTTTATTTTTTCGCATTTATAAATTTCAAGGGGGAAAATTTCCACTTCCCTTTTGTGATCAAAAGTCTCAAGTGAAACTTTGTCTCATTCTAGCTTTAGGAAAAGAAATCACTGTAACAAATCCTTAGAGACTGTAACGAAACTCGAGTATCTTTGTTAGATGACTTACATATTACGCCACATTTTCATAATTGAATTCGAATTCAGAATCTCGAATCATACAGTGTTGATTTTTATTGCCCATTGTGGTTTGATTTTTAGCTCTGTATTTTCTTTAAGGTTATTTTTTTTCCAGACTATTTATCTTCAAATCAAATTAATTTTTTATTAGACTTAGATTTCAATGAAACTCTAAATTATCTACACTTCTTTTCCATGAAAAAAAAACTTAATAGTGTGATTGAAATTAAACCCATCAATTAAAATGTCAATATATTTGAGATATGATCAAGTATATAAAAAATGAGAACCAAAAATGAATATTAAAAATGAGAAGAAATTCAACAATTTTTCTAGCAAACTTGAACTTCTATATACACAAATGTAATCATTCCCATTGTACATCATACACACAAACACTTCTATGCCAAGTGTATTTACAAGAAAATGTGTAATAACAATTACATAAAAGCTAGAACCAGAAATATGTACTAGGCAGTTTTTTCACACAATAAACAAAGACTTATGATCTAATTCTGATTGATATCATCACAAGATGAGGATTCAATAAGAATTCAATCAATTAAACAAGCCAAAAAAGACTCAAAAAAGCAATATAAAAATGAAATAAAATAGTTATAACATGTCTCCATTCTAACACCTAGTAAATATGATATATATAATCAGTTTCTTGCTTTTGCAGAAATAAGATTGCTTTTATTGTCATTTCCTGTACAGGTACAAATTGGGTGGTAGCATGACTTAACCTTTAGAAGAGTTCTTACTGCCCCAAATCTTCTCATCATATGCCCTTTTCTCTTTCTACTTGGTACATTTTCAACTATCTGACTTACCTATCAAAAACATCCAAACAAGTTAAGAAAAAAAAGTTCTAAAAAATGTGGACAAATGCAGCTGCAGCCAATGTCGTCAAAATTCTAATTGTGACGACGTTGTTGTCGCAGAGACTTCAAAAATCATTATACTGCGACTCTGCGGCAGTTGTGAATTGCAATTTAAAAGAAAATTATAAGAGAAGGTTAATTACCTCATTTGAGATTCTAGTGTTCTTTAACGAAGATTTTCCTAGGCAGTTGTCACTGCGCGATTTTTGGAGCACAGCGGTGGCGGGACGACTTTTAAATTCTTCTTCTTCGTCGTCTTCTTCGTCTTCTTCTATGTCTTCTTTCTCTTGTGTTTTTCTGTCATCAGCTTCAATACAATAAATTCTGAAACTCGGTGATCCGGGACATAGAAATCGTCCAAGATCAGTTTCATCATCATCATCACAATCATTTTCATCATTCTCTTCACTTTTTGCACTCACTTCTTGTTCTTGTTCTTTCTTTACCTCTTCCACTATTCTTTCAATTATTTCCACCTTTGTTTTGATCTCTTTATGTTTGTTAACATCAATCTCATTCTTAATGTTAACCTTCTCTATCGTTTCGCATTCAATGTTTTCCACGGGAACAATCCTAGAAATATTTTCTATGGTTGTTAGTGGCACCACTGTTGTCTCTTTTGTCGAAACCGAAACCTTACATTCTTGGGCTTCATTAGTTTCGTGAGAAGTAGACCTAGAAACACTGCTGCTACCATCCTCTTCTTCGCCATTTTTCAATAGTTGTTTCTTCGAGAGAGTTGATTCAACATTCCTATTCTTTCTAAAATCTTCAAATCGTCCAATAATCGTAGCACGGACTTTATTTGATATTGATTCTCCTTGATCTTGAGATGAATTTATCCTCGAATTTCCATTTCCCATTCCAGACAAGTAAATAACTATTTATTTATTTGTCTGCAATGAGGAAAATGAAAATACAATAAAGATAATAAGTCGGCTTGACACAGAAGAAGATAGAAATGCTGAGAATGAGAAAAAGAAGTTATTATAGTTAAGGTGATTAATTTGACAGTTGAAATAACATGATAGCACCTGTACATATTGTTTTTTACAGGTATTAGTTTGTCAATAATAGAAAAGATTGAATTGAATTGAAATTCACAAAGAAAAAGGAAGAGAGTGATTTATATTTACTATTTAAGAAACTAATTTAACTAACTTGTTATAAGGGTTTTGGTGTAAAAAAATTTTCTAGGTTAAAATTTGGAAAATATTAGTTAGGATAAGAATTAGAAACTTGACAGGTTAGAGTATTGAAAATGAGGCTATTATAGCATTCACTTCTTTAGCATAAGTTTAAAATAGTGTTGAAACTTAATTATTGGTTATGAATTTGAAGAAATTATGTTCTGCTAGTTTTAGTCAATTGGAAGAGACTTAACCAACCATGTAATTGAAAAAGTCACATGAAGATCCTTATATTAAGGCCAAATTTGACATTTTCCACACATTCTTAATCGATTTATCATCAAATTTTCTATTATTATTATTAATAATATTATTATTATTGTTATTATTATTATTACTATTATTATTATTGTAAGAGATAAAATGTAGTGCACTGATGGTTGTAAAATAATTTTACACGGTCAATTAATAAGTATTTATTATTATACAAATAATTTAAATTATTAATGTGGTTTGACAGAATATATGATGGTGATTGAGTGAAAATGTAAAATTATTTTACAGTATGCATATCCTTTTATTATTATTATTATTATTATTATTATTATTATTATTATTATTATTATTATTATTATTATTATTATTGTTGTTGTTGTTATTGTTGTTGTTGTTGTTGTTGTTGTTGTTGTTGTTGTCCGCCAATTCCACGAAGAAAGGTTCAATAACAAGTGTTAAAGAGGAAGACACAAAAAATAGGTGGACCATTATCCTTGCTGAGGACACACGATCATACCCTCCGTCACATCTCTCATTGTTAGATCTAATCGAATGACAACCTGCATAAAGTGTCAAATCATGCGGGAAAGGTTTTAATCGCCCATACTATATAAAGACTACATCACAACATTTCAAATATTCAATTCATTCTCACTCTCAAATTGCTTTTCACTTAGTCACTGACTTGGGTGTTGGAGTATTAACCTTGCAGGTCCACCTTTTCTTCGTCGAACTGGAAGCTTGGTCCATCGCACCAAGACTATTCCATCACTTCATAGCACATTTTTGGTTCCTTAATGAAACAACGACACCTTCTCTGAGAAACGACTGCTGATTCCTGATCGCGACTTTCTATGTCTAATACAACTTAACTGCAAGTGCACAGTCTATCGCGTAGTAATAAAAGATATCGATCCCACAGAGACTCGTAATCAAACTAGTGTTCTCGGGAGTTACTATGTTTAGCTAGGTAGGTAATGTTTAAGGGAATAATTTTGTCACTAAAGGGAACTAAAAATGTTACTTAAATTATAATTACGTGAATCGATATGCAATAATTATGTTCTTCGGGGATTTAACAAGTTACCGGTACATGAAATATTTTTCAGAGTTTATTTAAGCAGAAAATAGTGATCTGAAGACTCTCGTCTCACGATGGTTGTTGACGCTAATCATAATTCTAAGGGTCAAATGTACGCTTTCGTGTCCCATTCGGGGTTAAAACTATTTTTTGGAAATCTCTAAGTTCTAATTCATTTTAAAGTGCTTTCGCTGTTATTAAAACAAATGACTAGTGTTTACTATCTGGTCTTGCCGCAGCTTTCGCTTGTTGGTTCGTACCTTAATTAATTTCCCACTGTCATGGCAAAACTACTTTTAAATAAGTTCTCGTTTTCGCGACGAAGTTTATTCAGTAATTAAGTTTAAACACTCAGACCATAAACAATTTTTGAAAAAGAGAGTTTTCAACTGGTTATTATCAAATCCCGTCTGAATTATTATTACATATCGATTACTCTGATTTAGCTAGACATGGATTTGGGAAAGGTAAAACATAAATAAAAACAATGAATAATAACATGCATCATAATGAAAACTGAAATTACGATTAAAATTTAGAACCTGTAAATATTCCAATTGGCCTTTGGGCAGATCCTCCACAAATGTTAGCAGGATTCTGGTCTTTGTGCCAATTGATCGTACAAATGAATATTGTCGAAATGGAATACAGCATAAATGAAAGGAAACAAAAAAATAGAAAGAAATAAAACTGAACTTTTGCTCTGGAAATAAAATTGGGCAGCACTTCGTTGTCTGAATGCGGCTCCCTTTCTCAGCTCCCCTCCTTCCCCTTTTATAGAAATAGAATTCTAACGGTTATAACTTGAAGAAGGTGGACTTAGAGGCAGAAATATCAGGGAGTAGTGGTCCACTATTTGGGACTTGGAACTGTATTTTGCACGTTCATTTGAAGTTGGGCGTTTTTGCCTGCATGACGGTCGTCACGGTGTGTGACGGTCGTCACCCGTGTGACAGTCGTCATGGAGCTGTGACGGTCGTCACAACAGCAAAATATGTATTCTGCATTTTTCATGTTGTTTTCATCCGGTTTTCGTCCATATTTCATCTGTAATTGCTTCTTTTCTTCATATTGCCTTGTTTAGACGTGATTATCAAATACCTGCAAAATATCAGACAAATAACATGGAAAGAACCCGAAATCGGATCGAAAACAGTCAAACATCAGTTGAATTCTGCATCAATATATATATATATATATATATATATATATATATATATATATATATATATATATATATATATATATATATATATATATATATATATATATATATATATATATATATATATATATATATATATATATATATATATATATATATATATATATATATATATATATATATATATATATATATATATACGATTTCGTGTTATCAAACTCCCCTAAGCTTGAATCTTTGCTTGTCCTCAAGTAAAACAGGAAAAGGTCGGCAAGCACGAGGCAGCTTCCTCATTCACAAAGTTGGAAAAAATCGGGATTCTTAGTAAGAACAAAACGAGTACGGTGACGACACTGGACTACAAGTCTTCGGAGGTCTCCTTCTTATGCAAATCGGTCCCAGTCATGCCACTGTAGCTTGGTGTCAAGGTTCTCGCGTCAAGTTCACCCTATTTGTTCTAGCGCAATCACATTAAGCCCGTTGTCCATACACTTTCATGGCAAGTCGACCTGTTAGTGAATATGATCTCCTTTCTGTTTTGATCTTTTTCATTGCTCATAAGCTTATACCATTGATTTTTCAATGAGTTTTCGTACCGTTGGGCTAAATGCTCGGGTGAGGAGCACCTAACTTAGAGGGAACGCGTCTTTATATTTGGGCTAAATGGCTTTCTTTTCATGATTTTTCATCTTTTTGGAGATCATACACTTATTTGCATTGGTCGCTCGCTTAAAAGTGTTTTAGGATGGTGCTGACTGCTAGTATAAACTACTTGGGGCTGAGTTTGCGTAGACACTTGAAACTTTGGTACACGTAGGTAGTGAAACCGACTCGCATAAACCGGATATCTAAGGTGTCAGGACGGTACTGGCTTTGTTGAAATTGTCGTCTCGGAGTTTCAAAACTTGGTTTGAACTTGGGCGCATTCTCGTGGTGCTTTTGCTTTTGAGGAACGAACGAAAATTTTTTGTTTATGTCGAATAAAGCGAGGATGCTTGCGTAACGGAAAAAGATATATAAAAGAGCTTTTATTTGCTAAAACGTGAAAATGTTCGAATAGAAATTACGGAATTAAAAGTACAAGGGAATGGGAAATAAACGCTCCGCTCCCACACTATCTCAATCAGTGTCCCCACTGATTTGAAAGAATGCGAGAGGGAAATACAAGGGAAATGAAAATACAAAGAAACTGAAAATATAGTAAACAAATAAGGAAAAGAGTAACTAATCACGGCCTCTGCCTCGGTCACGTCCTCGCTCGCGTCCTCTGGCTCTGACTTGGTCGACTCGGTCCTCAAAGCTCATTGCTCCGGTGTGGTAGACATAGTCGCGGAGTCCTTCGAATTGCAAGGTCAAATTCTCCAAGTTCTCAGTAATGGTTTCCTGGCCGGTTTGGAGTTGTTGCATTTGGGTCCGATGCCAAGCTTCGAACTGCTCTGCTCGCTGATTCTGCTGCTGCATCATAGCGAGTATCTGGGCCTGCTGGTCGAGAGATCAGCGGAGGTCTTCTTCGGAGTAGTTGGGCTCTGGACGATGGCGGCGGCAGCGGTAGGATGTACCTTCGGAAGGAAGTGGTTGCAATGCCTCCGGTTGCTCAGGTCTGTCCAAATCATCTTGGATTTCGTCACCAGAATCTTGGGTGTGAGTCTGAGTTGGAGCAGCGGCAACAGCAGGGGCATTGAGGTCAAATAGCCAGTTGGCACGATCCTCTGGGTGCATCCGGGTGCGTGATGGTAGGATGATACTTCTGACGGTTTTTCCACGCACGACCGGGTGGTATTTGCCATCGGCTCTGGAACGGATGAGGTGAGAGGCTCTGCAGTGGTCGGTGTCGAGGAACACCGAGGGAATGGCATGGAGATGCTGGAGGCGGTCACCGAGGTTCAGCCCAAGTGCAATGGCAGTAACAATCCCGCCAAAGTAAAATGGCTTAGAGCCACGGTTACAGTTGGCCTGGATGTGGGCCAGGAGGAACGGAGCGGCGTTGATGGGCTCGTTGTTGAAGACACAGCAGAGAAAGAAGAGCTCTTTCGAGTTCACCTTATGGTTGCTATCCCGGGCGAAGATGGTGTTGCTCAGTGCGCGGTGGAAATACCGGATGGTCGGGTTGTGGATATGCGTTGCGTGCAGAGAATCCCAGCCATCGGCATTGATTCCAGTTAACTGGTACCAGAGCGCGAAGGCTTCGTGCTGGAACTGTTCGGTGAGGCG